ACAGTGCCCAGGATAGAGCCGGGCCCATTGGCCAGTCCTCACAAAACTCCAACTGAATTTGACAAGGAGTAATATTTGAACACCTACTGTGTGCTCGGCACAGTCTTCTGCTGACCAGCTGGCCGGCTGGTTGGCTTCCTCCCTCTGGCTGGCTGGCGGCCTGGGCTTGGCCAGCCGACTCACAAAGCCCATATCAGCTTACACAGCAGTTGGTGTTTCCTTCGCTGTAAATGCCCTTGTCTCCCTAGATGGAGGGAGAGTGTGATGATGACAGGGGTGGTCAGAATGATTTAGTTTCAGCTCTGATGCACCCTGCCTGGGGAATTCTCATTGTCATCAGGTGGTGACAGTTTATGGTTGCGGGTATTTGAACAGCTCAGCTACTTGTTTCAATAGGCATCATAAAAAATTATTAACCAAGCAGATGAGAGCAAAAGGGACAGCGTGATCTGTTTGGGGAAGGCTTACCTGGGAGCTGCTGACCCCGGGCAGAGGAAAAATATTGACACGAGTGAGTTCTCAGGGCATCCCAGGTGTTAATTATGGAGGCGACTCCCTGTGGCCACTCCTCTTGAATCCAACAGGAAAGTGCTCCTGAGTCTGCCTTCCCACTATGGTGGACTTGGGGGAAATAGCTTATCCTCTAGTGATAATAAAAGTAATGCACCCTCACTGTAAAATATTTAGAGGATTCAGGGAAGTGGAAAAAAAAAGGAAGTAAAAATCATCCATTAAGCCTCATCCCAAAGAAAACACCATTGATCCTTTCTTCCATTTTTTTCTCTTCTACGTATTTGCAATAGCTGAGATGATCATAAAAATTAACATAATAACTATAACTTAATATATGGCAGGCATTGTTCTAAGTGCTTTATGTGCATTAACTCCTCTAATCCTCCCAGCGGCCCTCCGAGGTAGGACCATGAGTATACCTGCTTTACAGGTGGGGAACTTAAGTCACCCACAGGCTAGCTTGCCTGAGCTCACAGCCACTCGGGGGCAGAGGTGGGTTCAATCGGTCCCACAACACCGTTCTATCGTGGATCCAATTTATATTCTCCTTTTTGCCTTGAGCATTGTGACATCCACACTTTCCCACGTCAGCACACAAATGGCAGAAACATCCTTTTTAATGGTTGCTAAATATCCCAAGTGGATGGACTACAGTTTATGTGGGCATTCTCCTGTTTCGGATCTCTCTTTACTGAACGTTGGGTGTCCCACAGCAGCAGCAGCAGCACAGTGACAGAAGAAAGCCACGCAAAGCTGGCCTCGACTCCGCACCCGAGGACCTGAGGGCAGCAACTCCTAGCCCCCAACTCCCCGCCCCACTCCCTAGGTGGAAAGCCTGGAATGGGAACTCTGAAAAGGCTCCCACCAAATATATCACAAATATATCCCCGCCTGCCAGACAGTGTGGGCAGTGCACCTGGCCCGCCGGCCACCTGGGAAGCACACCTCCACCTCTTCCAGCCTGTTTTCTGCCTTATAACACAGAACCACCGATGCCAACCCTGCCTACCTGGAACCACAAATTCTCTGCAAGGATCAGATGACATAACTGCCAGAAAAAAAGCTTTTGAAACTGGAGAAGAGTTTTACATATGCAAGGGATTGTTATTATTATAACATTAATTCAAAAACATTCTCTGAGGAGCTGCTATATGCCAGGCATTTGTGTGATGCCCTGGGGAAGTAGGCCCCCCAAAGAGAGCCCCAGTGCCGCCCAAGAGGGAAACACAGTCTGATGGAGGAGGACAGACCAGCAATAACACACAGCTGGACAAGAGATTGAACAGAGGAAAGCATGGGCACTGCAGGAGCCTAAGTGAGGGAGCTCATTCGGGGGTGGGGGGGGTCTCAGGGGAGGCTTCCCGGAGGAGGTGACATCTCAGCTGAAACCTAGAGGATGAGCAGTGTTTGGCTAGGCAGAAAGGGGTGGCAGACAGAGAGAACAGCAGATGCAAAACTGCGGAGGCATAAAAAGCACGACATTCTAGAAGGAAAGTATGACCAGGCCATAGCAGGTTTATAGAGCAGTGGAGGGATGCCTGGGTGGCTCAGTGGGTGAGCATCTGCCTTCAGCTCTGGGCGTAATCCCCGGGTCCCTGGATCGAGTCCCACATCAGACTCCCCACAGGGAGCCTGCTTCTCCCTCTGCCTATGTCTCTGCTTCTCCCTCCGTGTCTCTCATGAATAAATAGAATCTTAAAAAAAAAAAAAGAAGTGGAAAGAGGAGAGACTTACAGTGTAGACACACCCCCATCTGCTCTTTTACCACCAGTGATCCTATAACTGTTTAGGGAATGAGGAGGGTGCAACGAGCCCCAGGAAGGCGAGCTCACCAGGCACACTCGTGGTTGACAGAGCAGCATCACAGCATTAAGGGAAGGGACCCGTGGAGCCGCTGGGTGGGGCTGTGCTTCATAGACTCGTACAGGGCAGTCTTTAATTTTTTTTTAAGATTTTTTATTTATTTATTCACGACAGACACAGAGAGAGAGAGAGAGGCAGAGACACAGGCAGAGGGAGAAGCAGGCTCCACGCAGGGAGCCCAACGTGGGACTGGATCCCGGGTCTCCAGGATCATACCCTGGGCTGAAGGCAGCGCTAAACCGCTGTGCCATGGGGGCTGCCCACAGGGCAGACTTTAAAGGCTGCCCCCCACACCTCTGACCATCTCACTTCCTCCAATACTGGTTCCACTGCACCCCACCGGGGCTACCCCAAAGCTCAGACTCCACGGATCCCCAAGAAGCTCTGGGAAAGAACCTACGAGGTTCTCGATATTCCAACTTTGTTATTGCCTTTAAATCTTTCCAGCGATTTGGCTCAGTGGTTGAGCATCTGCCTTTGGCTCAGGGCGTGAACCTGGGGTCCTGGAATCGAGTCCCACATCAGGTTCTCCTCAAGGACCTGCTTCTCCCTCTGCCTATGTCTCTCCTCTGAAGCCTGGATTCTTGGTCCCACTTCACAGATGAGGGTCAGGGAAGGGAAGCAATAGGCCCAAGCCACTTGTGAAACCTGTGCTTGGGGTTCGGGTCAGTGTAGGCATCGGAGATGCTAGGTTGGAATAACTGGTCTGCAGCCTCCCCATTGGTTCCCTGGGGCCGATTACCACTTCTTTAAATCCCAATTTCACACCTGTCTGTATAGTAAGGACGGTGCCACGAGCTGTACGGGCTGCCATGAGGCCTGGCTGAGACGTGTTCCGAAAGCCTGTAGTGTGTAGACGGCACAGCAGCTGCAGTGGTTCCCTGATACCACGTCTGACGCCCCCACATGTCCTGAAGGCACCCATCTCCCTGAGGTCAGGACTTAGGGCCGGGTTGAACTTGAAATCTCTCCGCACTCATCAGAGGAGTAGATAAATCCAGTCCCAGGCACTGGACACACTGGTGACCTGATAGACTTGCAGGTTTGGTCAGAATCCAAGATGCCAGTCCTTTCCAGCTCCGATGGCACTCCAGGAAGACCCGTGGCCCTCGGAGCATCTCAGAAAAGCCCCGGGGTCCCTTTCTGCCAGTAACAGGAACCTAGTGAGGTCCCAGTGGCCCAGAGAAACCACTCAGGGGCTTTCCTGAGGCCTCAGCCAGAAAGCAAGGGGGTGAAGGTCCTGCTGTGTGTCTACAGACAAGATGCTCAACCTTTCTGTGCCCCAGTGTCTTCCCAGCTGCAGGAGGCTTGGGAACCCACCAAAGTCCATGGAGAGTTTATCTATTTCCTTCTCCACACATTTATTTTAACACTATTCTAGATGCTGGGGAGACAGCTGAAAACAAGATATAGCCCTCGGGAAACTTCCATCTTCTCTCCCGTCGTGCTCCCCTGTTTAATGGAGATGATAATAGTGCCCACCTCATGGAGTTGTGAGGATTAAATAAACTCATATACATAAAGAGCTTAGAACAGGGCCTAGAGCTTAAGAAGTGTTCCACAAGGGGTGCCTGGGGTGGCTCCGTGGGTTAAGTGTCTGCCTTGGGCTCAGGTCATGATCCTGGGGTCCTGGGATCCTGGGTAGGGCTCCCTGCTCTGTGGGGAGCCTGCTTCTCCCTCTGCCCCCATCCCTACCCCACTTAGGCTCTTGCTCACTCTCTCAAATAAATAAAATCTTTGGGGGGGGAAGAAGTGCCCCACAAACACTGTTATTAGTAGCAGCGGTGTCTGTCCCTGGGCTTAAGGATTGGATGAGATACCATTAAGTCAGCGCTTACAGTGAGACGGGCATTGCAGCAAGCATGAAAATAAAAACAGTCACTTCCTCAAATGTGAGGCGATACCATCAACCCATTTTAGGGAGGAGGGAACTGAAGCATGAGAAGTCAAGTGACTTGCCCACACAGTCTCATTCTGGTTAGTGGAAAAGGCTCTTAAACACACTCCAATTCAGGATTCCCCGACCCCAATGCGTTTGGGGCTGGATAATTTCTGTGTTGCGGGCCCTGACCTGGGCGCTCGCAGGGTGCTCGCCAGCCTCCCTGCCTCCCTGGTCTCTACCACTAGATGCCAGTGGCTCTACCCTCCTCCCCACCTTTCAACAACCAGAAATGTCTGCAGGCATAGCCAACGTCGCCTGGACGGCAAAGGTGGCCCCTGTCGGGAAGCTACCCTAAACCAACCCTTGAGCTCAGAGGCCAGGACTTTCAGGCCCTGACCGGAGGCCCCCTCCTCCAACCCTGCTGGCACCACCAGAAACGCCCTGCCCAACCACAGCCGCAGGTCGGGCCCTTTGTCAAGCACAACCCCCGCCTGCCAGCCTCTGGTCTTTGGCTCCCTCTTCCCTGCACCCAGACTGCCCTTCTCACCCCCATCTCCAAGGCCCCGCCCAAGCCCACCTGCTCCCTGAATGGGCCCCCAGCCCAGGACTCACTGTTTCCTGCCCAGCTCTGCACCTGGTATCCTAACTAGTCACCAGCGTGTCTGGCCTTGCCGGCTCCCGCTCCCGGGGCCCCACCCTCAACTCCAGACAGGAGCCACCTGAGGGCAGGGGCTGCGCCTGACTCATCCCTGGGTCCCCGCACCCTGGGCGGGGCCAGGCACGGGGGCTGGCTCCCTGCTCCGTGCACCTGGCCCATCCGAGCTACCGAGCTACCGGCGATGCTGGGGAGAGGCCCTCGGCCCGGGAGGCAGCTCAGCCGGCAGCCGGCTCTGGGCGGTTAAGGAGTGCGAGCCGGACTCGGACTGTCCGTCCTTCTGGCTCCTTCTGAGGACTGACAGGGCAGGTGCTGCAAACCCTCCAGCCTCCGGTGGCTTCACAGATGACACGGGGATGACTGCCCGCGAGCCAGCTCGGGAGGATTGCTGGGAGCACTCCGTGCGCAGTGCTCTCTCTGGGTCCCGGACACGGACGGACCGACGGACGCGGGTTCCCGAGTGAAGGTGGGAGAAGGCGGGGCGCTCCTGCCCGGGCCGGGGAGGTCTGACATTTGCACTTCTTGCACGAGTTGGGGACGGGCTTGCCCGGGAGGTCTGACATTTGCACTTCTTGCACGGGGGGGGGGGGGGGGGGGGGCGCCGCCGCCGGGGAGGCCGCCAGGCGCAGTAAATAATTCACACAGATGAACTGGAGATAAGTGCGGCTTCGCGGGGGATCGGGTTTAGGCCGGGAGGCGCGCGGCGGGGGGCCTGTGGTCTCCCCAGCCCCAGCCCCGAGGCGAGCGCTACCGCGGCCCCAGGTGCGGCTCCCTGCGGGGGGGGGGCTCCCCGGAACTGCCCCGCGGGGCGCTCGGGGCCCCGCCCGCCTCCACCCGCCATCCCCATGGCAACCGCTGGCCCGGTCCAGGGTTCACAGCCAGCGGGCTCCTGGCTCCCTGGGCCTCCCCCGCCCGCCCCGGAGGAAGGGCGGATGAGGCTCCCGGCTCTGGGCGCAGGCCGAGCCCAACCCCCCCCTTATCCTGGAGCCCTTGAAACCAGGGACTCTGGGGTCAGCGCCCCAAGGAGTCAGGCCCAGCTCCACACTCTCCGGCTGTGCCGCCCCCGCCGCCTGCAGAAGACCCCAAGGCTCTGTGCCTCGGTTTCCCTTATCTGTAAAATGGGGATAATAATCATCGTCACTACCTCCTTGGGTGATTGTGAAAATTAAACGAATTAGATGCGAGGGATGTGGAAGGGTTCCTGGTGTCCAGTGAGCTCCTCATAAATGTTATTTTCCACGTGGGGAAAAGGAGCCCCAGGGGGGGCAAATGCCCACGGTGATGGTCACACGGGGCCCAATAGGGGTTGGAATGCAATGGCCACTGCCTGTGCTGGCCCCTGGTTTTTGGGGTCCCCCAAGGGTTTCCTAAGGTTCCTGTGACACCACCACCCCTTCCCAACTTCTTGAAGCTGCACTGTCCTCAAAGGGTCATTGACCAGCCAGTAAGGTCCCTGAAGGCCCTCCCCAGTGCCAGCCAAGCACTATCCCACCCCACCCCCATCCTTGGCAGATGAGTCCTTAAAGGAACATGATTTAGTTCATTAATTAGTTCATTTCCTCAGCCCCAACGCCCTCCCAGACCCAGCCACTTAAGGCCTTGGCCAGCAGCTCTCTGCCTCCCAGGACTCCCCTCTCCCCGGCAGATTCCAGCCATCCCTGCCTGCCCCCCATCTGCCCAGCCCCCACTGCCATCCTGTTAGGATTTCCCATGGCACGTTTCCCAGATCCTTCTCCCCCTTTAGCCTGTCCTCCCTGAGGTCCCTTTCCCTCTGGTGACCCTTTGTCCTCAAACAGCTGTTTCTGGGTCAAGGACCTTCCTCCAGGCCTGTGGGTGTGCACAGCCCCCGGTTAAGGACAGACCCTCTGATGGGAAAGGTAACAAAATAAACCAAATCTTCCTTCCAGAACAAGTGGGGTGGTGGGGCCCCGAGGTGGGCTCCCTTTTGGGACTTTGGGTCATGCTGGAGAAGGCGCTGGGGCCCCTGGGCACAGGCTCTCTGTCCCTAGGGGCCACACCACCAGCTCCAGCCCAGCTGCCAGGTTTCCCCGGATACAGCCCGGTCCTCGGATTTATTTTTGCATATGGTTTGGGAGAATCTCTGTTGCTGGAATAACGACAACCTTTTTTTTTTTTTCCTTCTGCTTCCCTCCAATAGGCAGATTTTATAAACCAGAGCAGCTGCCTGAGGTTTCCAAGAGAAAATTCTGCACAGTTTCTAACCAGGGTGACAGTTCCCCTCCACAGGAAGTTGCTTTTATTAAGGTTGTTGGGTTTTTATGTTTCTTCTTTTTTTTTTTTAATCTGATTTATTTTGTAAGGCTCCATCTACCGGTCACCAGGCAGCACCTTGGGCCTTGTGGGCATTTTTGTCCCCCCCCCCTTTTGCCTGGAATTAATGATTACATCTAAACCACAGTGGGCTTGCCCAACACAGGGCAAAGTTGAACGGCTAAAAAGTGGGTCATTCACAGGAACTGAACAGAAGAATCCCAGGTGATTTACGGAGATACTCTGCTCATCAAATTAACTCCACACACCCTAAGTGATTTCCTTCCAAAGAGGACAGTGTGGAAAGGAGGGGGGAGAGTAACTTCGCAGTGGAGACCCCTGACAAATGCCACCTCAGTCACGTGATCAAGGTCGGTATCAACAGTGCTAAGTCAGGTTGATAGCATGTACTCTTGATATGATGCAATGAGAAGGGCAATTCACCTCCCCCGTCTTCCTCCCAAAACCCATCACCCCAGTTGAACCATGAGAAAAACATCAAGCCCCATTTGAGGGACAGTCTACTACGAAATACCTGACCAGTACCCCATCAAAAACCAGAGAAGTCTGAGAAATTATCACGGCCAAGAGGAGCTTCAGGAAACACGATGACTAACTGGGATGTGGTGTCCTGGATGGGATCCTGCGACAGAAAAGGGACATTAGGTAAACAGTGAGTGAGATCCAAATGAGTCGTGGAGTTTCATTAATAGCAGTGTACCACTGTGGGTTCCTCCGTTGCGAAAAAATGTACCATAGCCTGGGTGGCTCCTTCGGTAAAGTGTCTGGCTCTCGGTTTCCACTCAGGTCATGATCTCAGGGTACTGGGATGGAGCCCAGAGTCAGGCTGTGCGCTCAGCGATTCTCTCTTCCTCTCCATCCCCGTCTGCCCCTCCCCCTGCTCTTGTGGGTTCTCTCTCTCTCTCTCTCTCTCTCTCAATTAAATAAATATAATCCAAAAAAGAAAAATGTACCATAGTAATGTCGGATGCTTAACAATAGGAGAAACTGAGTCAGGGATATTGACAAACCCATGCTATCTGTATAAATTTTCTGTGAATCTAAAACTGTTCTGAGTAAAAGTTTATTTTGTTAAAAGTAGGTTTCAGGCAACACCCAAGGCCCAGGTCTCTTTGGTTCCCTCTTTTTGCCCAAACCAGGGTCTGAGCTGCTGACTTTAGTGGTAACCCTGTCCCAACCTCATTGCCAAGGAACTGCCATCCTTTTCAAGCCCCAGGAAAAATCCCACTTCCTCACTGCTGTATAGTCAGTCTCTGGCCCACCGCGGGTGCTTAGTGGGTATTTGTCAAAAGAATGAAACTCGAGGACTTCTTGAAAGAGAAGATCCAAGCAGAGAGCCATGCTCCGCCCTTTCTGGGGCAAGAAGTCAGTACCTGCGAGTCCCCACTGGGAGAAGGATGGCTTCCAGCAATCTGATTAGAAGTGGGTGGGAGATTTCTCTTAACACAGCCTTTGGGGAACAAGCATTCAGATTTACTTAGGATTGCACCCATCGGGGTTTTGAGGAGCTGATGAAGATAATAGGCAAGGGACTCCTCCAAACTGCTCCCCATCCCCCACTCCCCAGCCCTGTGGTCCCTCCATTGCCTCTCAGTAGCCCCAGTGGGTACTTCTACTAAGACAACACTTCGTGCAACAGGATCTGTTTGCTGGGTTCTGAAAGTCCATTGCCTGGCACCCAGCAGGCACTTCATATGTGTTCATAGCGATGGCTACCACTTATTATGCCCCAGGTTCTAAGCGGGGGAGTGGGGAGGAGGTAGGAGTTCCTATTTCCTCTTTTGTGGCGTAAGCATTATCATCACCCCCCTTTTACAGATGAAACAAAGGTCCAAAGAACTTGAGAAACAGGCCTCAAAGCACAACTAGAAAGTACAGGGTAAAGGTTTCAAATCTGAGTCATCCAAGACCCACACCCATGCCTCTTATTCTCCAACCAGCCACCCTAATACTGCCTTCCCCTTCCCGTGGGCTGAGGGCCTGGGCATCTGCTCCCTGCTGCCCACGGAGGCCCCCTGCGCTCACTCCTTCCTCTGCGGCCTCCAGACAGCCCTGATCTTCAAGTCTCTTTCCTTTAAAACTCAATTTGCCAATTTTCCCCTTAGAGGTGCTTTTAGATACTCCTCCCAGCTGTCAACCTGGACAGGCCACGGAAGCAGAATCCAGGGAGATGGATGCTTATTACAAGCATTCAATTAGTGAAGTTTGAACAATGCAGCCCTGGCTGCTGGATCGATGCACAGGGGCTCAGAGACCCCCCCTTCCCCTGCCTTGGACTTGTAACGGCCTTTTCCATATTTATTACCACCCAACCGGATACTTCAAACATATTCTGCACTTGGTGTGATTTCGTATCTGCCCAGTCCCCGCAGTGCCTTCTCAACAAACGTTTGCCCCGATGCTGGAGTATGTTTAAAAGATTTATATTCCATTTTGCTGAATGGAGTCCTCGGGAAAAGCAGACTCTGTCTTCCCAGCCAGAGGATCCTGCCTTGGCTGACGAGGTGGCCTCCAGCAAGAACATTTTAATACATCACTTATTAAAATGGACCCAGAGCCTTGGCAGAGGGCTCCCGTGCTCCCCCCCTTCCCAGCAGAGGGCAGCTCCAGGCCTTCCCTGACACGTCAGAGCCCTGCCTCCCCCTGACCCCTTATGCCATTGTCCATTATGCAGAATGACAGAGACCATAACCTCCAAACAATGAACCAACAGCAGGATCCTAAGGCTGAAGGACACTGGCTACAGCTGGGACTGAGCCGGGGTCTGGGGTCAGATGATTCTGCAGCCCTGTCCTGGAGCAAGGGCTCCGGGTTCTACTCCCGCCCAGCTGACTTATTAGCAGAGACACCTTATTATGCAAGTTACTTAATATCTCTGAGCCCTGGTACCTTCGGGATAAGAATAATGCCTACTTCCTAGGGCTATCGTGAGCCTGGCATACAGTAAAAGCTCAATTAATGGGGTTGTTTTGTGGTACCTTCTAGCCCCTGGGGGGCATCCATTTCTTCACCTACCAGAGAGTTAATCGTTGTGGGTTTCCAGGGTTGACGGGTCGATTATGCAAGAGAATAGAAGGGCAGCTCTGCTTTGAGCAGTTAAGCAGTAATTACTCCTGGAAGGGGCAGAGATGCGCCCTCGGAAAGAATCTTTTCATATGGCTCCTACCCTTCCCCGCAGGTTGAGGCTGAGCAGAAGGTGGGGCCTGCCCCTAACTCCCAGTGTGCAGGACAAGCACAGGGGAGAAGAGAGTCAGGCTCCACGGTGCCTAAAGGTCCAGAGGCTCTAAAACACTGGGATTCTCTGGGGTCGGTCGGAGAGCCAGGTTCAGGAACAGAATCGCACACCTGGGGAAAATCACGCTGGCGTCCCCTGTCATCCTGCTGGCACCAGCAGATCCCGCTTGCCAACCATTCCTACTAATGGCTGATAGGATGTCCAGCCTTCTGCTAGGCCCTGCTGAGACTCAACACCCCATTGCCTGGGAAGGGGAAATGAGACATCACCCCCTCCCCCACAAGCCCTCTGGAGCCCCTCTCTCCCCAGCCGCCACCACCCTGGGGCCTGTCTTACCTTGATGTCTGAGTCACAATCAGGATCCTGTCACCGTGAGCTGTGTTGTGACTCCCCAGCTGACAGTTTTACAACAAACACATTAAAAGCTCCCAGCACTGAGGCTCCTGGCTGGAGAACAGCCCCCAACAGAAACCTCTCCAGGCCTTTCTTCAGCCAAAATCCTTCTCCCCATCCATCCTCCCACAGGACCAGCTCCACCATCATTTACTAGCCCGGAACCCAACAAAAGACTGAGATTTTTTTTTTTTTCATCACGAGCATTTTCAAGGGGTGATTGGGGGAAGCCAGAGACCTACCAGGCTGGGGGCCCCCCCGAAGACGGGGCTCATCCCTCATACAGTGACCTGTGAACTCTAGAAGGCAACGGTGGGGGTGGCTGGTCCGGGGTGAAGCATTCTATGGGCATACAGTGGCCTGATACCGAGTGCGATCACCTGCTGGGTGTTGCGTTAATTCTCCCACAATTCTACCCCAGGAGGCAGGTGCTGCGTTATCCCCACCTTCCAGATTTGGAAACTGAGGCTTCAGGGGGCAAGCGGGAAGACTCACTCAAGTCCATACAGCTGGGAAGTGAAGGAGCTGGGATTTTTAATCCAAGTCTCCCAGCCTCTAAACATTGCTCTTAACAAGCCACCTGCCTCCCAACACAGGCGACCTCCTTCTCTCCACAGCCCGCGAGGGATGGCAGAGACGACAGGGAAGCAGGGAGAGCCCAAGGAAAATCCAAAGGGAATTCACTCTCCCTTGGGCCAGTCCACTGTCCTTCCTGCCATCTGAGCCCCAAGCCACAGGGCCCTCCACACTGTCTTGCTGCCTCACAGACCAAAGCTACCGTTCCCTCCTTCCTGTCTGCAGCTAGCAGACAAAAAGCAAGTCCCCGGAACCAAAGCAGAGACAAGAGAGGAGTGAGACACAGGAATATTCTTTTATTGTACATTGGAGAAATAGCCCTGTGTGCTGGTTAAAGGTGCAACATCCAGAATATCGAATTAAGAAAAGAGGGAACAGGGTAGGGAAGAAACCTCTTGAGGTCCAAAGTTGCAAACAAAAAAATGGTAAAAGATTTCCTCACGCAAGAGGCGTTTTTGCAAATACCATGCAAAACAGGCAGCTGGTGTGCCTTAAGAGAACCCCTATAAATAACAGAAAAGACACTCCAAGCATTCCTTTACGTGGACTCAGAGCACAGGGAAAAAGAAAAGAAACCAAAATGCCTTTTGGCATTTCAAGATATTTGGCACTCTTGTGATTACATTTTTTTACAGCCCATTAAAGAGAATAAACTGACACAATATTAGAGAAAAAAACAGGCTGCTCACACAACAGACTGCAGGAAAGAGGTTAGAAAAAGCTCAAGCATTTTTTTCTTTGTTTTTGTGGGTTTTTTTTTTCCTGACATATAAAATGTGTCCATTTGCATTAACTTGGGCAAATAGCTTGCAGCAACAAAGAAACACAAGCTTTACAAGTCATTTTAAAATAAAACAGGGATTCTTCCTATGTATCATTCCTTAGAAAAGTTCTCTGCTTGTTTTAAACACATTCCCGATAACTTCAAAAGAGGACCAAAATAAAACAGTATCTATAGAGATCATTTGCTGATTTTTTTTTTGTACATCCAAGGATAACAACATAAAAAAATAAAACCGGACAGCATTTCACATCCAAGTGCACAGAATCATTTTTGCAAGATTAAATAATGTAAACATTGGGAACAGCCAAATCAGCGAAGAATGCCAACACCTCAAAACACCCGGTGTTGCCGCTTCATTCTTTAAGTGGTTCAAAAATCCAGATCTATAATTGCGCAATATTCACTGTATATAAAAAGAAATGGATATTAATTTTGACAAATAGCTGCAACTGAGACTTTTTTTTAATTTCTTTCTATGTGTGTATATAGTGATTTTTAAATTTCTAAAATTTTTTTTTGATTTTTATTTTTGCTGAGGAGCCCAGAGCCGCCTTCTCCTCCTCCTCCTCCTCCTCCTCCTCCTCCTCCTCCTCCTCCTCCTCCTCCTCTTCCTTCTCACGCCTCGTCTGTCTCCCGGCCTGACATGAGATACAGGTTGTTGATTTCATCGTAGGTAGCAAGCTAGTAATAAATTTCAAAGTGCTTTCTCTTTTCATGCTCTTTTTGCCAATAACTGTTACCGCCGGTCTTACTCTCCCTTAACTCATTGTCTTTGGGGGAGTTAGACACCAGGAGGTGCCTTGTCTGTCATATTTTTCAGCACGTCATCAATTCTATCATCTTCAATAACAACTGCAAAAAAAAGGGGAGAGAAGGAGACGTGAGCGCGCCTGGGCCTGGCCGGGGGTCTCCGACGTCGCCCGTTACGCCCCGGGTGCGGGGGGGGGGGGGGGGGGCTGGGAAGCGCGGGAGGCGGAGGGGGGGTTCCTCGCGCGCCGACACA